GAAATTAATTCTTAGAACTGCTGGCTCGAAACCCAAGTGCTGAACCCTCCAGTAGTAGGTAATGACGCAAGGGGCTCCCGGTGTCAACGGCAGCTCGGTGGGTGAGCTGGCTGTGAGAGTCCCCGGGAGCAGGGAACCTTTGTTCCCAACAGAAAATGCTGGGTACTTACCACCACTGAAGCAAGGAATGAGCATCCCTGCCCCCTCACCCAGTTTCCAAGTAACCGGAGCTCCCTGCAGGACCGGAGGGTGAGGGCGCTGCGGCTTGCTTGGCTTCAGTTCTGCAGACATTCCTGGGAGTCATCCTGTGGAGATGAAGGATCCGGAAGGTGCAGAGGAGAGAGCTCTGGTTCTGGAATCCCAAGTCTTGGCCAGGAGTCTTGTCCGGGCCCACGGATCCCTGGCCCCCTGGGAGTGCGCTGGGGGCAGTTGCAGCTGTGAGCTCAGAGGACTGCAGCGGAATTGGGGTCATTTACTTAGAGTGCTCTATCTTCTAAAAAAGTAATATTCTCTTTGGATAAAATAAAGACATTTTCTGGAACTTTCCCATTTCTGACTTTCTGCCCAATCTAACACAGGTACCTAACACACGCTGTGCTAACCATGGTCGGCCTGCAGGTTATCCAACATCAGCATGGAGACCATGCATGCGAATTAGACGGCAGATGAAATCCTAGTAAGTTGCTACCTTGGGGGACATAACTACTGCAGTGTTGGCCCGTGTATACGTTTCAGCCCAAGGCCACCACCCCTTCACCTACCTGCCCCGAGCGGTAGAAAGCCAGCCCGACAGAAACAGAAGAGGAAGCGCCTTAGGGGTCCGGGCGCCAGGAGCCATCGCATTGTGCCCTGCTGAGGCGGCTGAGCCAGATGGCTTCGGAGACTCTGTCCGCAGCCATGGTACTGCAGCGCGGCCTGGCGCTCTCCTGGCCCGGCGCAAACCGGACTTCATTTTCCATTCGCTAGAGACCCTGCGCACATCCCAGCGCCAGCCCCGACTGTCCCTGCCCGCACTTTTCCCTCGGCACACAGCCTGAGAGGTGCTCCAGCCCGATGCATCCCAGCGGCCATGCACCAGCCCATCCACAGGTCCCTTCTCAGGAATCTTTTCCATCCCCGGCTGAGTCTTAGAAAATTCAACCCCAGGCTAGATGCCTGAGTGTTATCCACATCTCTTGCCTTCTTGGTATTGGATCCTGAATTCTTCTTCTTCTTCTTAAGGTTTTATTTATTTATTTGAGAGACAAAGTTGCAGAGAGAGAGGTCTTCCATCCTCTGGTTCACTTCCCAAATGGCTGCAATGGCCAGAGTTGATCCAATCAGGAGCCAGGAGCTTCCTCCTGGTCTCCCGTGTGGGTGCAGGGGCACAAGCACTTGGGTCACGTTCCTCTGCTTCCCAGGCCACAGCAGAGAGCTGGATTGGAAGAGGCACAGCCAGGACACAAACCGACGCCCATATGGGATGCTGGCACCACAGGCAGAGGCTTGGCCTACTACACCACAGTGCCAGCCTCTGAATTATTTATTTACCTATCAGAATATTTAATGCCAAGTCTTGGTATGCATACCTGTGATTCCATATCCAGATTTAACAAGTTTTAAATCCAAGTTGTGGCAAATATATTCATATTTTGTCAGGTAAATGGAGTTCTTGACAATTAGAACACATGTTTTTTATTTTTGCACAAATGTTTGTCTCCCTACAGAAACTGTTCCCAGCTCCCATCAGGATGCATGAGCCAAGGTGACGCGCAGAAGCCCATCCTCAGGCCATCCCGGCTGTGCTGCACGGGACTGTGGGAAGTCAGGGGTGGCCACCCTAGGTCCTGGAGGATTACTGCTAAACCCACCATGTCACGGAGTCCTGACAATAGGGCAGCTGATTAGGGCTGTGCACAGTCAGGGTTGAAGAAAATCTTCTCAGCCCATCAAAACTAACTCCATTTGGAAAAGCCCGCCTTTGGCCTTGTGAAGACTTTTCTGACTGCATATTGTTTGGGTTGGTTTCATGCAGCCTAGCTAATGGAGAATGATGGATGTGCGTCACTTATTTTTCTAAATTATTCACAATTCCTTGAAGTAGAGGAAATACTGCAGGGGGTATATTCCTGGCAGACAGCGTGATGCAGTAGAATGGCTGTGAGGCAGAGACTGAAGACATCGGCTTAAATTCTGCCTCAGATGCCCAGGAGGTGTGGAAACCTGAGAACGTCAGGTTAGCCCTCAGATTCCCAGCTGGCTCCTTCATTCATTCAATCATTCATTCATTCATCGTTTACATTTCTGTTAAGCTCCAGGAAGACTTATGCTCCAAGTTGGACATTGTACTTCTGGTTTTTTTTTTCCTTCTTTAAAATGGCAATGGCACTATTTCCTTGGTTTCCAAAATATTTGCTATAAAATATACATATAAAATATATAAACATATTTTTAATACATTAAAATATAAAAATTTTCAAGCATGTGCAAGTATCTTGTGAAGTTTAATTAAAGTGTGGCACAATTGTTGATTATACTTTTTTATTTTCTGTTTTATTTATGCATTTATTTATTTTAAAAAAATGTACTTATTTGAAAAGCAGAGTTACAGAGAGAGAACGAGAAAGAGAGAGAGATTGTCCATCTGCTGGTTCACTTCCCAAACGCTGCAACAGCCAGGGCTGGGTCAGGTCAGAACAAGGAGCCAGGAGCTTCTTCAGGGTCTCCCACGTGAGTGGCAGGGGCTGAAGCACTTGAGCCATCCCCTGCTGCTTTCCCAGGTACATTAGCAGAGAGCTGGATCAGAAGTGGAGCACCCAGGACTTGAACTGGCACCCCTATGGGTGCTGACACTACAGGCTGTGGCTTTAACCTTCTGAGTCACAGCACTGGCTCCCTATTGCACTTTTTAAAAATTGTAGTAAAATACACAAAACATGAAAATCATTTAAAAATATGAAAATTTAGTCATTTTAAGTATAAATTCTAATGGCATTCAGTACATTCAGAACATTCTGCAAACAGCCCCACTATCTAGTTTCAGAACTTTTGTAACTCCATGCAGCCTTTCAACCCTCTGTTACCTTGCTGAACCCACTGATTAAGTCTTCAGTCTATTCTACATACAAGATCATATCATTTGCAATTATAGTTTCCCACCTTCCTTCCTAACATGAAGACATTCCTATAATTTAAAAAAAAAAAGTCCAAAGACAGAGAGAGTAGCGAGAGACTGAAGAGGCAGCTACCTCCCACCCACTGTTTCAATCCCAAATGCACAATAAAGGGATGCAGCGTTGGGCCAGGTCAAAACCAGGAGCTAGGAAATCAATCAGAGTTTCCCATGTTGCAGGCATCACCTAACGTCTCCCAAGGGCACCTTGGCAGGAGGCTGGAATAGGAGCAGAGCCAGGCCTTGACCCAGGCACTGCAACATGGCTGAGGTGTCCCAGGCACCTTTGCCATTTACCACTGCCCAGTCCCGAAGGCCTTTACCCCATGCTCGTCCTAGTTGCTGTGACCGGAACTCTCAGCACAGCGTAGACTCCAAGGGGAGAGCGGACATCCTTGTCTTGTTCCTCATCTTGGGGGGAAAGCACTAGTCCTCCCTGCTAAGTTCGCTGTGGGCTGTTTGTAACTACCTTGATCAGTCTCAAGGCGTCTCCATTTTCTCATGGTTTTCTGGGTGTTTCTGTCATAATGGGGGTGGGATTTTTGGCAAGTGCTTTCCAGTGGCATCAGTTTAGATGACCACATGCACCACAGTCTTCATTCTGTTGCTATGGGTATCACATTAATTGACTTCCAGATGTCAAGCCAATGTTAAATTCTTGGGATATATCCCACTCGGTGTGCATAGACATGGTGTATCATTTGTTGCTGAATTAGATTTGCTAGTATTTTCTTGAGTATTTTTGCAACTATGTTTATATAGGACACTGGTCTTTGTGTGATGCCTTTGTCTGGTGTCAGTGGGGATTTAAAACTCCAGGGGGAGGGCAGGAGTGGTCCCCTGGAGGCGGCCAGTTGGGGAAACTTCTCCAGTGACGTAATGCGGGAGGTGCAGGAGAGGGCGCACAGTGCTACTGTTTGTCTTGGACACCTCTGAGGCCCGTGAACTTCGCATTGGCGGAAGAGACAGGACCTAAGCCTTGCACTGTGCATAATCTGCAGGGCCCTGGCATTGGGTGGGATGTGTCTTGAATGGGTATGGCTCTGCCCGCCTCTTGTTCTTCTGTCTTTAAGGACTGAACCATGAAAAGCCTGTTGAAAATACCATGAACCTGTTTCACTCGCGTGGCCTAAGTATGCTTCCCGTAAATGTTCGGATTCCTCTTTGAGTCATAACATTAACTGGAATGAGTGACGATGAAGCAGAAAGCTAGTGCTCCCAATATTTTTGTGAGAATGTGACCAGGTGACTCTATTTAACTTTCCCCAAGCAAAGTGTGTGTGTGTGTGTGTGTGTGTGTGTGTGTGTGTGTGTGTAGGACTAAATACAGTTCCATCTTGAACACCTGGTGAGGACTGCAAGGTGATTGCAGGGATCTGGGGGTGTGGCTTATGTCCACAGGTGAAATTGTTGCACAGGGTGAAACAGCTACAGCAGGTGCAAGTCAGTTTCGTGTTGTAGGCTGCTTATTTTCAGTTTTCACAGTGACTCTGACATTGATTTGAGGCTGCTGGATTTTCTATCGACGAGCTACACGCAGACGCCTAATCCTGGGATTCTGGAGAATTAGGGGAAGGGAGCCCAGGCACTCGGGGCCGCGCTGCTGCAGGCAGCTGGACTGCTCCCCACTTGGCCCCAGCGCCTCCATGCTTGGCCCCTCTGTTTCTTGCTAAGTGCGGCGACTGACTGCTCCCCGCCAACGCCACTGCCTTCCCTCTTTGGAGATCCTCACCCCTGTCCAGCTCCATCTCCCTGGTGAGTGCCAAACTTGCGGGCATGGAGTTGTCACTAATTCACGTCACTCCGGTCACTCCTCTGGCCTCCTGCGCCTTCAGCAAGGTACACGCTCTTTCTTTTTTTTAAGATTTATTTATTTATTTGAAAGTCATGGTTACACAGAGGGAGGAGAGGCAGAGAGAGAGAGAGAGAGGTTGGTCTTCTATCCGACGGCACATGCTCTTTCTAGGAGAAACAGACCTGCAGTCAGGCAGCCAGGTAGGGGCAGGCCAGGGTCTGGCCTCTGCGTAAGGCGTTGGAGGGGCCTCTGGGGCTGAGCATGCTGTCAGGGGCTGTGTGGGAGACTGCAAGGGCACAGAAATGCATCCCAGTGTGGGGGCAGGAAAGCTGTAGGGTGAGGAAAGCGGGAGTGACAGGATCCAGCTGGAAACGGAGGGCGGGCATGTCAGGAAAACGGTGCCAGGTGACGGGGCCTTCCGGGATGCTGCTGTTACGGACTCCAAAGGCATGAGCCCTACCAGAGCAGGGCGTTCAGAGGACTGGCTGGAGACTGAAGGCCCTCAGCGTCATCGCCCTCAGACAGGGCACGCAGGAAAGCGACTGGACATCCCCCTCCACCCAGCGAGACGGCAGCATGATGGAAGTGCATCCTTCCAAGACCTCAGCCCTCTGGAGCGTTGGTGCAAGTTTGGACGGAGATGTGACCGGAGAGCTGGAGCCCCAAAGCAACAGAGACGCAGCGTCTAACCTGTCTTTGCCGAGTCCCCACCTAGCCATGGTTCTCTGTTTGTGCAGCATCGTCCGCAGGGTCTCCAAGGCTTCACTGCCAGGGTTCCCAGCCTGGGGACCGGGGGGCTGGACACCCTGACGCTGAGTGTCAGGACCACCTGCAGGAAGGTAGAATTCTCGCTCTTCAGTGGGACTCCTGATGAAAAGGCAGGCTCTGGCGCGTTGGTGGGTGACCCGGGTGCTGCTCGCCCTGGGCCCTGTGTGGCAAGGTCCTGGCTGTGAAATCTCAGGCATGGAGCCCCGCGCTCCAGATCCGGCACTCTGCTTCCTCATCAGCAACCCCGTGCCCTTGCGCCTCTCGTCCTCGCTGCCTCCGTGCCTGCAGAGTGGGCGTGGCGCTTCTCTCGGTTCTCCTGAGGATGGAAGGCGTGGAGGCTCAGGGGCTCTGCGGTCCTCGCACGCCTCTGCCTTCAAGCCCCATCGGAGCCCTTCCCCAGCCAAACTCTGGTGTCCCCCTCGAGCGGCCCACAGTGGGGTGTTCCACAGAGACCCAGGGCCCTCACTAAACACTCAGCCCTCTCTGACCCCGAGAAGCCCGTGTTTGACCTGAGCTCCTGTCCTCAGCGAGAGCCACCCTACCTCTGGCCTCTGGGCCACAGCTCCCAACTCCTGGGTTCTTCCGAGCCTTGGAGTTCCGGGCAATGTGCCTCACCTTTGTGACGTCGTCCTGGGGTTGGGGGTCAGCACCTGGGCTCTGCCCCAGCCCGGACACTGTGTGGAAAGGGGGCTCTGCAGTGCTCTGAGTCTGGCTCTTACGTGGACCGGGTTGGCGTTCATCTTGTGAGTTTCCTCGGGGTGACCTGTGCCTCTGCCCGCACTGCCCCGCGGCCTTCCCGGCACCGACACACTGCGTGAGATGTGCAATCCCAGACTGCTGAGGAGGGCTTGGGCCGCAGGCTTCCTGCCAGCACAGACCAGGAGGGCCCGGCGTTTCTCCTCGCAGCACAGCAGGCTGCTGCTGTGTGGACAGCCAGGGAGACCGCTGGGCTGTCACGATTACCAAAGGACATGCAAGAAGTATGTTCTCTGCAGTGGAAATTGCTACCCTTGGGCAACAGGAAAAGGCTGACCATTACAATAGAAGTAGGAAATGGGAGGTAATGAAATCGAGGCGGCACACAATGCAACCGCCATGAGGGAGCTGGCATATGGCCTGCCCCATCCGTCTCTCAGACGGCGCTTCTCTCCAGCCGTCTCTAATATCCACCGTGAAATGAAAGCAGAGGTTTGACCACTTGTGGTTATTGTCACTGGAGGTGAATACCAATAAAGTGGCAGCAAAACTGTCCCCACAATGTCCTCTAAGACCAAAAGAACCCTGCCCTGCTGAGACAGGCAGGCTGCTTCCACCATGGTGTGGACCCCAGGCCAGTCTTTTCAGGATTTTTTAAAAGATGAATTTATTTATTTGAAAGGCAGCATTACAGAGAGATGGGGAAAGAGAAAGAGACCTTCCTTCGCTGGTTCACTCCCCGAATGGCCACAATGGCCAGGGGTGGGCCAGGCTGGGGCCAGGCTGGGGCCAGGAGCCAGCAGCTCCTCCTGGGTCTCCCCGACGAGAGTGGCAGGGGCCCAAGTGCCTGGGCCATCTTTTGCTACTTTTCCGGGCCATTAGCTGGGAGCTGAATTGGAAGTGGGGCAGCCAGGACTCAGACATATGGGACGCCGGCGTCGTTAACTTGCCACACCACATAGGCTGGCCCGTCACTTCAGTCTCGGTGGACTCGCACCTGGATTAGCCGGCTCCCAGAGCTCACGTGTAGGGAGGAGCCTTCCAGCTGGCCCTCGCTTGCTCCTCTCTGGACAATTCTGTGCCCTGGGCCCGACCAGTTTTCCTAAGTGCCAGTCACACTTTGTGCTGTCTGCTTTCACTGTGGCTCCCCAGAATGCCTGGGCTCCTGGAGGCTAAACCCTGACGCCAGCCCTAAAACGCTGCAGCCCCACCCTAGCACAGGGCACACGGCATGCAGTGTAGACATGTGCTCCAGCCTGCAGTGTAGACATGTGCTCCCGAAGGTGCACATAAGGCCTGGGCTTCAGTGATCGCAGCACTCAGACTGACAGGATTATGTACCGAGTCCTCACTCCGGTTTCAATGACGTAGTCCATGGAGTAACATGCTCACCCTGAGAGGTGGGGGCTGGGAGGGACCTTGTTCTGTCACCTTGCCCCACGGTTCTAAGTCCAGTGGCTGTAATTTTTGTTTTGGGTCTCACAGAACTTGGCCATAGTATAGAAATTAAACAGTGCACATTCGCATCTCTTCATTGTAGTTGTCACTCAAATCCCAGAACGGCCATGGTCCAAGACTGCAGGCCGTGGTGCATGAGGGTCACAAGGTCATGCAGGGACCCTGATGCTTGTGGTACCGGGGAGGGTGTGGCTTGGCCTCTGCAGAACATCTCAGCAGACGGGAGACAGGGACACCATGGGGAGAGACGCGGGGCATTTCTGACTTCTAACTGTCCACGAAGGGAGAGAGCTCCATTCAGAGAGCCAGGCAGCAAGCAGGCAGGGGCCACCTGGTGTCGTCCTCAGCTTCACAGCAAGAGGGATCGTCCACGGACACTGTACTGGCACAGCTCAGTTTGCTGGTAGCCAGAGTTCTGCACTCTCGGGGAAATCTGGCCACACGCTCTGGGGACATGTGTCCCCAGCTCCTCACCAAGGTGACACACAAGATCTCCTTGATCCTTCCAAGCTACGGTGGGGAGCAGATCCTGGTGCTGGCAGCACCGCCCACCTCCCAGGCACCCCTTTGTGTTCCGAAGGACTTGGGAGACCCCCGAGAACACACAGCGGCTACAGCTGCTCAGGCCCTGGGGGCAGCCGGCCAGCCAGAGCTCCCTTCCAGAGAGACGCAGGGTCTGTGGCCGCAGGGTCCTCGGAGAAACATCCTGCAGTACCTCAGTCCCGGACACGGGGCTCCTTCCAGACGGCCTTCCCTTTTCCTGCGGCTTCAGGCTTCAGTGGCTGAACACCTGCCACTGTGTCCACGTCTGCCTGCCTTGTCCCTTGCCCTATCCACGCCACTTCCCTGGCTTGACTATGCTGGAAAAAAACGGAGAAATCCCGGGCTGGCCTGGCATCCAAGTCTCCTGCAGAGGCTGGAGGCGAGCAGCCCTCTCCCTCAGGCTCCTAAGCCAATCAAAGCCACTGCCATGTATTTAGGGCAGCCATGAGCCATAACAGGCAAAGCTCTCTGCCTTTGTCTTGCAGGGGAGGAAGCAGAGGCCACACATACAAGCAGGTGGTCTGCTGAGATGCCCCCCAGGCTGCCGGTGCCAGGGCGGCTCCAGACCTCTGTCGTTCTGGGCCCTTTCTGAGTCGGTGCTGGCAAAACCACAGGCAGCCTGTGGCTGAGGCCCACAGAAAGGCTGGGCTGCAGGGGGAAGCGCGCCCGAGACAGGGAGAGGACTTGGGAAGTGGCCATGGAGGCCAGCCGTCCCTTCATCCCCGGGGACAGAGCCAAGGCCAGGTTGGCACAGAGGGCACAGGGTGGGCAAAGGGGCTGGTTGGAGAGGGAGGGCAGCTACAGGACTGGGTCACTGCCAATGTCACCTAGAACAGTAGGAAGCTGCCTGACAGCAATGACTGGAATGTCTCAAAACAGCGAGGGGAGGAGTCAGAAGTCCCCAACACATGGAAACGACACCCGTCTGAGCTGACTCCGTTTCCCCGTGCACAGGTGCTGAAGAGCCCCACGTTCCCCACAAATACGTGCAACAGCTCTGCATCCATTGGACAGAAAAACGTGTTTCTAGAAGGGCCAGGCTGAGACCATGGCTGCTGTGCGTGGGGCAGTGGGGGCTGGGGGAGGTTTTCCTAGACTCCCAAATAGAGGAGTCGGGGGCGAGGTGAGGAGGTGGGGCGCGAGCACATGTGGAAGAGCCCAGGGCAGCAGAAGGCTGCGCTGGTGAGCTGGGGAGGACACAGCCGCTCCCAGGGCGGGAAGCGGAGGCTGTCGGGAGGAAACAGAGGCAGCAGGTGGAGAGCGGCGCGCTCCAGCCCTGGGCAGTTCCTCTCGGGGGGAAGCTGAGGTGCGGATGTGGTTTCCAGCTCTCCGGAGGCCCCCAGAGCTGCGTATCCTGGCCCCACTGGGGCTTGATTTACAGATAAGCGCAGGCCCCGTCCGGGGGCAGCAGGGACGCCCAGCACCAACCCCTGGCCCTGTGCCCGGACATCCCAATCCTTGGATTTCCCTGGCCTTCTCCCACCTGGCTCCCAGCCCCAGACCCATGTCACACACGGCCCGCGGCCCAGCGCAAGGGGCCTAGGTCTGCCCAGTGATGGCCAGCAAGGTCCCTCTTGCTCTCGTCCCTACTGTGGACACAGACGTTTCTGCCTGTAGAGAAATGTCACAATGTTAGCGACAGAAGAATCCTGTGGGATCCACACCCACAGGCATGCCTGCTCCCCGACTGTCCCTCCCCACACCAAGGCATGCCTGCTCCCCCACTGCCCCTCCCCCACCACAGGCATGCCTGCTCCCCCCACTGCCCCTCCCCCCACCAAGGCATGCCTGCTCCCCCCACTGCCCCACCCCCACCACAGGCATGCCTGCTCCCACCACGGTCCCTCCCCCCACCACAGGCATGCCTGCTCCCCCACTGCCCCTCCCCCCACCAAGGCATGCCTGCTCCCCCCACTGCCCCTCCCCCCACCACAGGCATGCCTGCTCCCCACTGCCCCTCCTCCCAGCTGCCTCCATTCTCCCTTGTGCTCCTGCCAGAGCCGTGAACTGGGCCAGCAGCCTCCCTGCGGGAGTCCTGAGGGTGCATTGCCTGCCCTCCCAGCCGGGCCCCACCCTAAGCCCCACTGGGGCCTCCCCGCCCTGCTCTGATGAGTCCGACCTGTCCCCACCCTGGGCCTCTGTCTCTCACAACTTCCTCGCTGGGCCAGCACATCTCTGTGTGCACCTGCGTGCCCCAGCCAGGCTGCTGTAGCCTCAGAGCAGAGGCCTTGTCACCTCCATCTTTCACCTCCAGTCCCTCTCGCAGGAGTGCTTGTTGTAAAACACACTGCATGCCCACCTCACAAGGCTGAGAGCTCCCCAGCCTTGGGGGCACCTCAGGGTGGTCTTGGGGTTACCTGCCGCCACCATGTGCTCCTGACTAGGACTCAGACGCTTTTGGAACTGCAGCCCAGAGAGCTTCCTCACCAGGCAGGTGGCACACAGGCAGACACGCTGGGGTGCAGGTGTGGGACAGGCTCTGCTTAGGCCATGGGTATCTGGTGACTGTGGCCCACCTCTCTGGCCCTGGTCTCACCTTCCCCCAGCCTGGGAAGCCCCCTTGGCCCTGGGGAGGTCAGCGCACACAGTGGCCAGAGCAGTGCATCGAATGGACAGCTGGTGGGGCTCCTGGAGGCACCTGACCGCTGGCAGATCCACAGCTGGGGCAAAGCTTGCTGACCTCACGGTCCTCCTAGGGTCTGTGCACTCGGCCGAGTCCCGGGGCACTCAACACACGCTCCGAGGCCGCTCGTGGACCCCACAGCATCTCCCCCTCCGTCCCAGCGGCTGGCACGGTACTACAGCTGCTTTTAGCGCAAACGCCCCTGCACACCAGACACGCTTTCAGTACAAGATTTCTAGCTCAGTGGTTCGATGGGCACTCAACGTTTGCTACAGGCACAGAGGAAAGACGGAGGGGGGGATGGCTGGACTCACTGGGGTGACCCTCACGTGCTGCCGCAGGGTGAGCGGGGAGCACACACAGACAAGTGAAAGGTAAGGGGACAGGGAGCGCGGTGGGGACCACACTGCAGGTCTGCTTCACCTCTTTCTCACCTGACCCCTGCCTGGATGTCCAGAGATGCCGTTTGTTGTCACATACACAAACTTC